CGACGTCACCGCCGCCGTCGACGCCGTCGTGGTCGAGGGCGGCGGCGTCGTCGTCGTCGTCGGCTGTGGCGGTGTCGTCGTCGACGGCGTCGGCGACGGCGGCGTCGTCGTCGGTCGGCGGCGGCGTCGTCGTCAGCGGCTGCGGCGGTGTATTCGTCGTCGCCGCCAACGTCGTCAACGTCGTCGACGTCGTCGTCGTCGTTGGCGTCGTCGTCGGCGGCGTTGTTGTCGTCGGTTGCGGCGGCTGCGGCGTTGTTGGTGAAAGCCGCGTCGGCGTCGACGGCGGCGTCGTCATAGTCGCCGTCGTCGTCGTCGTGGTTGATAGCGGACGCGGCGGCGGCGGCGGCGGCCCTCGAACACGACGACGACGACAGAGGCGGCGGCGACGACGACGCCGCCGCCGCTGACGCCATCGCAGCTTTCGCCAACAGCGCCGCAGCCGCCGCAGCCGACGACGATGGCAGCGGTGGTGGTGGCGGCGGCGGCGTCGTCGTCGTCGTTGTTGTCGTCGCCGCCCTCGTCGTCGTCGACGTCGTCGTCGTCGTCGGCGGCGCCGTCGCCGGCGGCAGCGGTTGCGGCGGCGGCGGCGCTGTGTTCGTCGCCGCCTTGGCCCGCGCCGGCGGGAGAGACACGCCTGCCGGGCCCCCGCGGCGGCCGCGGCGGGCCACGCCATGGCGCGGGGGGGCATCGGGGAGAGGGAAAGGGGGGGAGCAAACTGGCAAAATGCAAAGCGACAGGGGAGTCGCACGGCGGCCGGGGGCAGAGGGAAGGGGGGGAGGAGGAGGAAGAGGAGGAGGAGGAGGAGGAGGAGGAGGAAGAGGAGGAGGATAAGATAATATAAGATAGGATGAAATAACATGAGGTATGGCAAGATGGGGCAAGATAAGGTAATATGAAATATGATGAGATAAGATGGGATGATATAAGATAATATAATATGCTATACGATAATATAAAGCAAGCTGAGATACAATAGTACCAGATACGATAAGATATGGTAAGATATGTAACGATAAGAAAATAAAGGGCAATATAGGATAATATGATCTATGATGATAATATAAGATAATGTAGGATATGACGATATGTTATACGATAAGATACGATAAGACATGACAAAACAATATAAGACACGCGAAGCTGATATAATATATGATACGATAATTTTAAATAAGATATGGTAAGGAAATACAAGGCAAGATAAGCTAAGACAAGACAAGATATGATAGTGTAATATAATGTACGCTAAGATACTATAAGATAAGATATGATATGACAATATAAGATAAAATAAGAAAATCTAAGATAAGATATGATAAGAGAAGGCAGGATACGATAATACACTATAAGACAAGATACGATAAGATAAGACGGGCCGCGAGACGCGGGTCTGCCCCAGCAGCCGAACGCGGGCGGTCCAGCCGCGCCGCGCTCCGTCGCGCCCGCCAGCAAAGGCGGGCACGCCCCCTCTCAGAGGATGAGGGAGACGGTGGCGCTGATGAAGAGCACGGTGCCGAGCTCGAGGGCCACCGGGTCGGAGTCCGCGCGCATCAGCAGCTCGTCGGAGTTCTCGAACTCTGAGCTGCACCTCTGAAAACGAGTCAGATTACCACTGCACAATCTCACCGTCGGGGTAGACATCGTCGATCTGATCGAAAGGGTCCTCCTCGCCGTCAAGGTTGGTGCGCAGCGGCTGCACCTCAGGCCTAACCCCTCGCCTGGCTGGAGAATTCGTCGATGCCGAACTCGCCGCCGACACTGCACTGGTGAGGCCCCCTGAGGATACCACTCGCTGTGTTGCATGCCCTGTGGGCCCCTCAGGAGCCTCAGCCATGTGCCCAGCCGCAGCTGCTGCAGGCCTAACCCCTCGCCTGGCTGGGGGTCTCTGAATTTCGTTCAGCACCACTGCGACAGGCCTGACCCCTCGCCTGGCAGGGGAGTAGTTTACCGTAGACTTGCCAACAATTCTGCGCCTTGCCGTAGGGGTCGTTGTTGCACTTGCCGGTGTCAAGGTCGTCGAGCTGCTGGCCTCCTGATGTACACTGTCATGAGACTTTACCCGTTACTCTTGTCCTGGCCTCAAGTCAGGGCAAGCAACGTCCTGCCATGGCCGCCGCAGCCGTACTGGGTTCGACGAGGGACTTGCACCGAGCAGCGGGGCGACCTCAGCAGCCAGCTCGGATCCATCGTTCAGTGGCCACGACGGGGCATTAGTCCTGCAACCAATATTAGCATTGCCATCGTCCAGGACACAATCTGAGATAAGATAGGCCACTGCAGGACACAATCCAATCCTTTCTAACAGCTGCTCAGCACGAACACCTGCTTGATCAGCATCATGAACTGAGGATGAGGAGGAGGAGGAGGAGGAGGAGGAGGAGGAGGAAGATGAGGAGGAGGAGGAATAATATGCAGAACAGGAGGAGCGGAGCAGTTTCCTCTGATGATGAGGTGAAGGAGGAAGATTCGTTTCCTCTGAGGATGAGGAGAGGGTGAGAAGGAGCAGGAAGAGGCAGGGGAGAAAGGAGGAAGAAAAGGAGGGGGAAAGAAGCAGGAGGATGAGGAGGAGGAGGACGGGTTTCCTCTGACCTTCCTGGCGCCCACGAGCTGGTGAGGGCCTGCCTGGGAATCCGCCTTGGAACGCCGCCGCTCGACTGGTGGTCGCCAGAGGGCCTCCTCACGCCTCACCCTGCCCTCGTCGCAGGCCGCCACAGCCCCCCTCCTCCCCCCCCCCCCCTCCTCCTCCTCCTCCTCCTCCTCCTCCTCCTCCTCCTCCTCCTCCTCCTCCTCCTCCTCCTCCTCCTCCTCCTCCTCCTCCTCCTCCTCCTCCTCCTCCTCCTCCTCCTCCTCCTCCTCCTCCCGCTGAGGGTCGTCGACTCGGAAGCAAGCCTTCTGAGACCTTGCCAGGTTCTCGCGGCCTTTGCGAGCCTCCCCTGCGCAAGCTCCCGAGAGGCTGCGGGGATCGACGTCGGCGGTGAACCCGCCACGAGCACCATACACGGCCGTAGCGGAGGAAGGAGGGAGGGACGGACGGGGAGGGGGAGGCTTGTGAGGGGGGGTGGGGGGAGTGGAGTTTTTGTTCTAAACGCCAGCTCCTCTTCATCTCCTGTCGAAGCTGAATTCCAGGATTGGAGAAAGGGGGAGGGAGGAGGGGAGAGAGGGGAGGAGGGGGCGGAGGGGAGGGGAAGGGAGGGAGGAACTAGGAGGGAGGAGGCCAGGGTGGGGAGGGGAGAGAGGAGGAGGAAGGAGGAGGAGGAGGGGGATCAAGGAGGGGAGGGGGGCGAAGAGAGACAGGGTCAGAGCGCGCTGAGAGACCTGGGGGGGGGCGGAGGGGAGGGGGAGGAGAGAAGGAGGGCAGGAGGGGTGGGGAGGATGCGCAGCACCCGCCGCGCTTCGAGCAGCTGCGCCAGGCACGACCCCCCCTGGGCGCCAGGGGCCAGCCGTTCCCTGCACCTCGTCGCGGTGCGCCCCTCCTCTCCGCAGGTGTCCCTCTGCCGTCGTCTCTCCTTGTTTCCCCCTATCTCCAAACTCTCCCGCCTCCCCTCCTCTTCCTCCTCCTCCGTCTCCGTCTCCTCCTCCTCCTCCTCCTCCTCCTCCTCCTCCTCTCCTCGTCCTCGTCCTCCTCCTCCTCCCTCCTCCCCTCCTCCTCCCTTCTCTGCCCCCTCTCCCTCCTCTTCCCCCTTCCTGCCCTCCTCCTCCTCCTCCTCCTCCTCCTCCTCCTCCTCCTCCTCCTCCTCCCCACCTCTTACCCCTTCCTGCCCTCCTCCTCCTCCTCCTCCTCCTCCTCCTCCTCCTGGACTGCAAGCAGCAGAAGGAAGGGGCACACGAAGAGCGGAACCACGGGCAAAGGGAAAAGACTCTTGCAGCACTCGGTCGCGACCACCCCACGTGGAGAAATTAGTCAACAGCATGCCGGCCACCGTTGACAAGATCCACCAGCCGCATAATTGGTAGACTCCTCATAAAAGGGAGTGTGCGGCGATGGGGCGAGGGCCACGCATTGAACACCATGCGCTCTCCACCCGCTTACCTCCTGGAAGCGTGTACGGCGAGCGAGTGCTATCACTGCGATCGCTGGAGACGACTTCGAGCTTCGAGGAACGCGAATGGCAGGAGCGTCAGACAAATCGCAGCCCGGCCGAGCGACACGTCTGAGTATGGAGGAGGAGGAGGACGACGACGACGCAGGAGGAGGAGGACGACGACGAAGATGATCGAGGTGCTTGGACGCTGTAGTCCCTGCTGGAGCCTCCGAAGCCTCCGCAGGCCCCCATGGACCTCCAGGAACGTCAGGGGGGCGCAAGCGGCCACGACGGAAGGCTGAAGCGGAAGAGAAGGGCGGGCAGAGCAAAGGGCGAGGAGGGGATGGGGAGGGGGCGAGGACGAGGGACGACGAGGAAGCTGAGGAAGCAGCGGCGGCGAGGGAGAGCGGAGGGAGGGGCGAGGAAGGGGAGGGGAGGGGAGGGGAGGAGCGAGGAGAGGCAGGAGAAGGAGAGGCAGAGGAGGAGACCCGCGCTGCCTGTTTGGTCGACTGCGTCCTCTTTGCTCACCGCAGCAGGCTTGCTACCAAAAACGGTAAACGCCTGGCAAGGCACCATCGCTCGCAAAACAGGGCTACTCAGTGGTATTTGCCCTGCCCTTCGCTGCTCCCCCCTCCGCCTTCTTCTCCTCGCCCTCATCCTTCTCCTCCTCCTCCTCCTCCTCCTCCTCCTCCCTCCTCCCCCCCTCCTCCTCCTCCCTCCTCCTGCCCCTCCTCCCCTCCTCCTCCTCCTCCTCCTCCTCCTCCTCCTCCTCCTCCTCCTCCCCCTCCTCCTCCCCTCCTCCTCCCCCCCCTCTCCCTCCACCTCCTCCTCCTCCTCCTCCCCTCCTCCTCCTCCCCCCTCCTCCTCCCCCCCTCTCCCTCCACCTCTTCCTTCTCCTCCTCCTCCTCCTCCTCCTCCTCCTCCTCCCCCTCCCCATCGTACAGGGGAATGTGGAGGAGGACTGCTGCCTCTGGCCTCGCCCCTGTCCTCCCGGCCATGGCCGTCGTCCCTCCCTGTCCTTCCCCCTTCTGTCGGGCACGAGCCAACACGGATTAGAGATCCATGGATCAGGCGCGTGTGCACCAGATCCACGGACCAGGGGAGGCTTCCCCCCGAAAGTGAGGCCACCGTTAATACAAGGGCTCCCAACTTCGCGCTTCGCGCTGCGCGAAGCGCGAAATGCGAATAACTTCGCGCTCTCGCGCCGCCTTCCAGGGGAGAAGAGGAGGACGAGGAGGAATCGGAGCCGAACCGCGAAGCGCGAAGCGCGAATAACTTCGCGCCCTCGAGGGCGCCCTTGTTAATAACTGGGCGAACGCAGCGCGCCGACTTCGCACGGCAGCGGGACCCGTCTCCAATACACGCGCCTGCGTCCATGAGTTCGTGCTCCCGCTTCGCACTCTCCACCCGCACCCCGCCCTCTGGCAGGAAGCCCTTCTCCTTTCTGCCCCGACACTCGCGCTCCTCCGCGGGCGTGCGCGAAGCCCACCCAGAACTCTCACGTTTCTGGGCTGGTTGGGCCATCAGGCCCCCATCGGCGATCAATGGGCGATTTGGGTCGATGCATCCTCCCCTGAGCCTTCGATGGCGACTCACGGAAGCCTCCTATGCCATCTTGCTGGCGCTTGCGAATCGACGTCGAGGCGAATCGACGATCAAATTCTTCGCGAATCGACGCTAATTGACGCAACATCGGTGCTGCCACATCGATTACCAGACGCTCACCGACGCTAATGCAACCTCCCAAAACTGAATTACGAGGGTAAACGAGGCTATTACCATGATTTGCGACCGCATGATCTTATCCCCCGTAACGCTGCCCCTGGAGCACCCAAGGACCCAGGAGCCAAGCCGCTCCAATGTTTGTCAGAGCGTCGGACATCTTGGGCGAGATCATACGAATATGTGTGCTTCCTCCTGGAATCAGGCCTCTCCAGAACTACGGGAGGGCACTAATCTGGTCGCTGTGCCAAACCGCTGACACCCGGCCCCTGGCGAGCTTCGCGCGCCAGGGAGGGCGGGGTGGGGGGGCATGGCGCCATCCCGCGACAGTCCGCGCGGCATGTATATCCCATATTGGACGTTGCCTGACATGTCCTTTCCCGTTTCTGAATAAACCGGTCGGTGCGACGCGGTTGTTAGTGAGATGCACTCCTCGGGTTCATTGGTCTTGTTTCCTTGCTTCGGTTCCTCGTGGCATTCCCCGTTCCCTTGGGGGTCCTCGGGGTCCTCGCTCGGGCTCCTTGCCTGGGTTCTCTCGGGCTTCCCAGGGGGTCCCCAAGCAACGGCAAGCAACGCCAAGCAATACCAAGCAATGCCAAGCAACGGCATGCAACACCAAGCAATGCCAAGCAATGTCAAGCCACGCCACGCAACGCCAAGAGATGCCTACCGAAACCACGGAGTGCCTGGCAATGCGCCCAAGCGGCGGGAAACTTATCCCTCGAGCACCGTGTGAGAACTCCTTCCATACCTGATTACTAACTCAGGAAGCTTTCCCCTACGGTGGGTCGTGCAGGGCACATTAGTGCTTGAAATGCTTCCCCTGAGGATTAGCTTGGCCTTCTTGACTGCTGGAGCTGTTGGGTTTCCGATGTGCCGCTCATGAAGCCTCAGGATGGCCCCGAGATGGCAAGCGGTGCCCTCAGAGGGCCCCAGCAGCTCCCGACGCGTCGAAATCGTTTCTGGATGGGTGGTGTGAAGGCCCTGGTTGCCAAGACTCTCAGCAAGCCCTGCCCTCCTGACCACCGATTGCGGCTCCAGAACGTCTGCAAAGTATGCCAGGCGCATCGTCATCATCATCATCACCACCACCACCATCCTCATCATCATCATCATCATCATCAGCAGCAGCAGCAGCAGCAGCAGCCTCAGCATCATCGTCATCATCATCATCATCATCATCAGCATCATCATCATTATCAACCTCATCATCAACCTCCTCATCAGAAGCAGCACCAGCATCATCATCATCTTCATCAACAGCAGCTTCATGATCATCACCATTACCCTGAGCAACCACACCATCATCATTAACAACATCATCAGTATCATCAACATCGTCGATGTCGCCATCAATATCACCACCGCAACCAAGATCATCATCCTTGTCATCGTCTGATGCAGCAACGTCACCATCATCATCGCCATCGCAATCGTCATCGTCGTCATCGTCGTCGTCATCATCATCAGCATCATCAGCAACAACATCGTCAGCATGATCATGACGATGGTCATCATCATCAACTATATCATCAACATCATCGCATCCTCATCATGGAAGCCACCACCACCACCATCGTCATCGTCATCATCAGTATCAGCATCCGCATCATCATGATCATCGTCATCATCATTATCATCGTCATCATCATCACCATCCTCGGCATTACCATCAGCATCGTCGTCGGCGTCGCTATCGTCGTCACCATTATCATAATCATTACCAGCAGCATCAGCATCATCATCATCATCATCATCATCATCATCATCATCGTCATCGTCATCGTCGTCATTACCACCATCGTCATCGGCGTCGCCATCGTCGTCGTCGCCATCATCTTAATCATTACCAGCAGCAACATCATCACCGTCATAATCAGAATCGTCATCATCATCGTCATCGTCGTCGTCAGCATCAATAGCAGCAGCAACATCAACATCAACATCAGCATCATCAGGACCATCATCGTCAGCATCATCATCCTCGTCATCATCATCAGCTGCATCGCTCCTCCTCCTCCTCCTCCTTCCCCTCCTGCTCATCATCATCATCATCATCATCATCATCATCATCATCATCATCATCATCATCATCATCAGCATCATCATCCTAATAACTACAGTCATCGCCATTCACTGATCATCCATAAGAAACGCCCACCACTGACAAGTCCCCGCCACTCGAGGAGTATGGCACGGCGCTGCACGAACTGGCCGGTGTGTGTACACCGTGCACCCTGGGCTGGCCGTCCTTCCTGGCGGCAGCCTCATTACAGTGTGTAGCTAAACGATTGCCACCGAGGGAGATGTGAAAGATCAGGAGAAAGCATGACAAGACAAATGAGGACAGCGAATATCCAGGATGAAGGGCTAGGACCATGAATAACAAGATGAGTGCGCTCAAACTGGACAGAACATATGCATCTTTATCCTGATCGAAAATATGGAAATATGTAACACTACGTCTCGACGCGCGGGTCTTTCGGGCGGAACCAATTCTGACAACAACAACGCCCCCCGCCCACCCGGCACTGGTCGGGCAACCCGTGAACACTCCAAAATAAAACTGGCATGACGGGAACAAGCGGGAAGTTCCTGCATGTATGCATTGTAAGCAGACGACTTGCAAAGAAATCACCCCAAGGCGGTCTCAAAAACGAAGCTGAAAAGGCCA